TGAGCCAAGATCATGCCACTGCACTCCAGCATGGACGACAGAATGAGACCCTATCTCAGGAAAAAAAAAAAAAAGAAAAAAAGAAAAGAAAATAATTGCCCATACTTTTCATGTTAAGATACAGGCAGGTGATTTTCAAAAGCCTAGTTTTTTCAAACAAATGTGGTCTTGCCTCCTACTGAAGAGTTGTCTTACGTACAATAGTTCATTACCATGAAAAATAAGAAAGTGATTAATTGCAAAATTATCTTTTATGTTTAACTTTCTAAAGATAGATTTGTCAAAGAGCAGCCCAGGAGATTTTTAATAGCTTTATGTACTGTTTTGTAATCGGTTCATTTTGTAACTCTGTACCTTATTAAGGATAAAGCATGCAAAGCTTCGTACTATCACCGAGAATACCAAGTCTGCAGGCTCTAATCTGGGGTCGGGGAAGGAATAAAGGAAAAATAAAAAAAGAATCCCTAATAAGGGTCAGTCCCAGGAACAACTTGCCAAAGACTATGGATATCTAACATCAGTGCCTGCCTGTTTGTGTATCTTGGCAGCATCATATACACATTTCTTTTGGTTGGGTGCCCATTGAGTGAGGACCCTGTGGTAGGTCATGAGAAATCAAAGTCATGGTCTCAAACTCAATGGTGTCTACATGATTTTATGTGAACTGGACAAGAGGCTGAATGGAATCTAGTCTTTTATTAAGATATTTGGGCAAACCAAGCATTTGTCCCCATTTGCATCCTCAGTTTAGTTTTTCCTAGTAAGAAACTGAAACATAGAAAACTCAAGGGCAGAGTCTATCAGATTCCTGAAATTCCAGTTCATTTGTAAGTCACTGATAGGCGACAATACATATACATATGAAATACAGTCTATTATAAAATATATGATGAGGTACTTTAAGAAAATGCTTTTGGCATATTACAAAGTCATTATTATTGTTTACATCTATTTATCATTTTGCTTGTTGAACACGATGCTCTTGAAGACTGACACCACTGTAATCTGATTGTGAGAAACACATCACTGATATCTTAGCTGGGGAAATGTTCCGTTCCATCTTACTCCTAAACATACTAGTTCTGGTCCTGATGGGAGGACCTTTTTGAAGAAGCATGGTTTTGTTTCCCACCCTGGGTCTTATATGCACGTGAGTGAAGGGAAGACCCCCACAACCATATGGAGAGTTCCATTCATTTACACATTTCTGCCTCCTCTCAGCCACAAGGAGATGGCTGTTCAATAGTAAAGTTCCTCTCTATTGGCATATAACAAATAATATAGCAGTGTAACCAGGAAAAGGAAAAAAACATACAAAACCATCCATAAAACTTGGTATCTTGCCAGCAATAAGGAATGGCATGATAAATTATGGAACATCACTAAAATGGCATATTACACAATTGTTCATTGATAATTAGAAATACTACATAGAAACATGGAAACATGCTTGGAATATAATTAAAAGAGAAAAGAAAAACACACTATTATAATATGTATGCTGCATATGCATGTGGAGGAAGCCTGGAAGATGATATGCCAAAATAGAAACACAGTAGTTGCTTTAGGATAGTGAGGTGGTGGGTTTTCAGAAACTTTTTCTTTAATATGATACAATACTAGTATTAATAATAGTGAATTCACCAAATAAATGATGTTGTGGGTACAGAGGGAGGCTATTAATAAATAAGTAGAGCTTGGATGTTGCAAAAGAGAAAAAACATTTAACAAAATGAATCTTCCTTTCCTACATTTGTCATCTCAATGGATATTAAGATCCATAATATTGAAAACATTTTCAAAGCAGCTGCTTAGTAGGGTTTGGAAGAGAGCCTGAACTTAACTGTATGTGGATTTTGTTTGCCAAGATAACTGCAACAGAAAATAAATCTTAAAACAGATGTCTAATGTGCTCTCGTTTGAGTATCTTGTCTGAATTCTCACTTAAGAATCAAGAAGCAGTTTGGAAAAAGAACCCATGTGCACAACAAGTAGGCACATAGAGCAAGAGAAATTCAGTAGAGAAATTTTGAAAATAAAATGCCTATTCAAAATCAAGTTGCAATGTCTATTTGGATTAACAGCAAAATAAGGGAATGCCTACTTAAATTTATATCTGTCTAGGAGCTCTTAAAGGCTACCAGGAACAATCCTCATGCCTATTATATTAATAAGAACAATTTGCTAAAACTGTCTAACTCATTGTAATGAGTTGCTGTCTTTTCCTCTAAAGGGCTGAGACACTTTTTTTCCCTTTCTCTTCTACCTTCGTTCAAAAGAGTGTGGGTTTTACCCTTTTTTGTATGTATATATTTTTTTGACTTTGGAAGTTTAACTCTGAATAGTACTTACAAGTATTGATTTGGGGCACCAGGCTACCTTGTTGCATATAGAAAGGGGTTTGTTAATATGTTAAGAGAAATTCACACACACAGTCATACATTTTATTTTCACTGGTCAAAGTTAAAACCTCTCACACCAACATTTGCAAACCTTTATTTTAGCACAGGAAAATATTTCCTCAAATGCATACTTAAATACCTTAAGTATGTTAAGTAGGTAATGGGAGAAGAAACATGAAATAGGTTTTGTTCTGAAGCAGAACTTGAAAACAAGATAAAATACCTTACATCTCTAAACTAGTAGTTGACCCTCATTTTAGAAAGAGAGAGAATAATATGAAGGAGTTTGAAATGGTTCCAAAAAATCAGAAAGTAACTTTTCCAACCCCCAAACCATACCTGACAGTGCAAGCATCTTCTTTCAGAAAACTGCAGCTTATTGTGTAAGATTTGCTGAGTCTCTGTGACCATCTCTCTGTCTCACTATCTCATGTCTAATGGTGGCAAACATCTTAAAAGAAGTTTTTATTCCTAAGAGTTATCCAGTAGTTGTCACCATTATAAAAATATGATTCTCTGTTTTCAAAATGCATTAAAAGTATTAAAAGTTACTGTGATTTTAGGGAACTATCTCTCCCCATCCCAAATCCGATGTCAATCACATTTAGTGCAAGGTTGTGTATTAGATTACTTTGAGTTATACCAACATTTTAAGTTTTCTCCTCAAAAATATTTTACTCTGATTATGTTCATTTTATTCTCAGGAATGTATTGTGTTGAATAAATGATATTTGGTAATAAAATATCTGCTTTCATACATCTACAAAATTCTTTTTTGAGTAGTAACAGTGCAATCTATGTCACATAATTATCATAAATTTCATAACTTTGGCATGCATTTTGCTGTAACTCATTTCCTGGCAATATATAAAGTGCCTTTGACATAATACCATAGAATATTTAAACTGAAAATGAATGATAGAAAAAATCAAGTGTAAATCAATTCCCCCTCCCTTCACAGAGTAAGAAACTCAGGTGTAAGAAGATAAAATTCGCCCAAGATCATGCATCTCATTTCTGACATTTAAGCCCTACTAAAATAATTACATCTTTTTGATCTTGAACTTGACTTGAAAATTATGATTTTTTTAAAGAGCATGATTCTTAAGACAGAGCAATTGCTATACTTAAGAAAGAATTGCAGAGTTGGAATTGAAATCCACAAAAAACGTATGCCCAAATTTTTGTCCTCAATTCCCCTTTTGGGAGAAAGTGACTAAGACTATATGATCACTTAAAACGATCATTCTTTGAAGGATACAAAATACTTCTGATCTTCAAGATGAACTCTATCACTATTCCTATATATAATTCAATATTTTTCTTCACCAGGGATCAAATGGCATTCTGCTTAATAGCCTTCTTATCTATTGCAGTTGAGCAAGTGAAATAGAAAGCACATTTTAGGATATCATTGTGATTCGTTGTTTTCCTCAGCAGCAAAAATGTATGAAATAGAGAGACTTTTATCATGTAATGTTCACTGATCAGGTGAGCTTAACACAACCTAGGCTTCAGTTAAATTTAGTAGATTAGCTCTTGTTTCACTGGCATTTAGTCTGTGAGAGGAGTTGAACAAATGTACAAATAATGACACTTCCAAAAGTTTAACCATTGCATTTCATACAAATTATGTGCAATGTTCAAGGCTAATGTGTAGACTTTATAGTTTTCAGATTTTAAAAGGTATATAAGAATGGTAATTATCAGTACATATCTGCCAATGTTAAAGACTTGGATATATATGTAAAATTTATTTTGTCTTGATGAAAACAAATTCCAATCTGTGAAAGAATCATATGAAGTAATTTTGCACCTGGGAAGGAAATAATACATGAATGATAGTAAATGTTTAGAAAGAACCCATTTCAGATAAAGACGCAATAAATGGATTTAAATGAAGAGTTTAAGAAGTAGCATAGCCATCTAAAAATGTTAACTTTTCACATAGCTGGTCACACTTATTTTACTTTATTAGAAACCACAATCTTGTCAGACAATAATGCCACAAGACTCAGTTACATAATCCAACTGTCTTTAACTCCCCTTTTCCCCAAAACAATCCCATCTAAGGAGGGTTCAACTCTTATATCTTGATTTTTTTTTTCTTTCAGCAAATACCAAGTGTGATAAGCTTTTCACCAGACAAAAATTATTTTATATAACAGCTCATTAATTTTTTTCAATTTATTCCAACATAAAGCAGCTCAGTCTCCCTATAGTCAGCTCATGCATCATTTGATGCCTCACATCTGCAGCCCACTCTAGATTTATCTTGCTCTTAGCTGGTCCTGGATAGCACTTTTTGGGTTATTTTACAAAACATTCAACATTGTGTAAATTGTTAAGAAGCAACCGGAGTGGCTTCCTTTCCTACCCACTGCCTCTTCCAGTGTCCTTAACCCTTATCGCCCTTCCCTAAAATGTGTCCCCAACATGCCTATTTACATGACTCTTGGGTACCAGAGGTTATCACACCCATCACATACCGGGTCAATTTCTAACAGTGTGAAGGCTCTCCAAGCAGAGTAATTTCCTTCCATGGGGAGCTGGGCTTAGTCATATTTCTATCAATCCAGTGACCTTTGTATGCAGAGATTAGACGATGGTCTCGTGGTCCCACCTGCCTTGTATCTGATTGATATAACAACAGTATCTGTCATAGGGGCTGTTCTGCTTGTAGGAGCAAACGATGATACTGTCCTGGGGCACAAAGAAGATGCTGTCCTCGGGCTCAGGGCACTCAGGTCTGTCCCTTGCTGAGCACTTGATGTCCAAGGCACTGTAGGTGAGGGAACTGCCCGAGGGGCAGTAGCCGTCCAGGTATCTGGACGTCTCCTCCTGATGCCCACTCTGGACCAGGCTCTGGCATTCTCCTTCCTCCGTGGGTGTGGGGGTGGTGATGGAGCTGGCCATGGACACCTCACCCTGGCCTTGTGGGGGAGGCTTCCCCCTGAGGCCTGCCTTCTTAGCCAGCTCATCTGAGCTCCCCTTGCCGGACTCCAGGTCTGAAGGGGTCCTGAGCAGCTCCACCACCTCCTTGTCTTTGGGTTTCCGGAAGCAGGGCAATTTGCGGACCCATAGAAGCTCGTTCTCTGGCCACTTGGTGCATCCCTCGGTTTTCCTGGCCAGGGCAATGGCCGCGATGCCTGGTAGGCAGATGGCTGGCCCGATGGCCAGGAGGGGGATGTTTCCCAAAGTCTCCCCTTTCATCCCAGAGACGGTGAACATGAAACCGAAGACTAGGAAGACACTGACCAGGGCCACCACCAGCCCAGTCCTCGGGTTAATGTCATCAGGCCGCATCTTTCACTCCATCCAGGTTGGGGGCTGCTTGCTGACCAGGGAGCAGCGTTCCTCTATTCTGTCAGAGGTGAAAACCACAGTGCGTTTTAAAAAAACCCAAGTCTAGCTCCCACCCACCAACTCTTATCTCTCTCTTGTTCTTTCTCTCTGACTTGCTTCTTGACTTTCAGTCTTTGTATCTCTCTTGCAATCGCTCTCTCTCCGCGTTTCTCTTGCAATCTCTCCCTGTTTCTATTTCTACTCTTTCTCTCCGTCCCCTCTCCCTCCCTCCCTTTCTCTCTCGTGCCCTCCCTCTCTCCCTCACACTATTGCAACTTCTGTCTCTCTCTCATATCAACACGCACCTGCTGGGGTCAACGAGGTACCTGAGGTTTCTTGCCCTCTCCAGGAAGTAGGGAAAGAAGCCAGGCTGTCTCCTCAGAAGCCTCCACAGCAGCTGCCCCCTCGGCTCGCTCCCCTGGTTCTGGGAGGAAAGCCTGGTTTCCCCCACGGACTCTGCATTGAGGAGGTGGAACGTGGGAGAGCGGTTCTCCCAGCAGTGCCCGTCGGTCCCGGTGCTGTGCAAGCGGAGCCTGGCGCCAGCTCAGCGCGCAGAGCGCGGGGCGCAGGAGGAGGGAGCACTGAGTCTGGGAAAGAGGGGACGCGGCGCGAGCCTGGCCTTGTTACATCACTGTCAGAGCAGGCTCAGAAACGCAGACGGACGCGCGGGGGCGCGAGGGGGTCAGCGCCGGAGAGAGGCCACCCAGCGGCAGGCGCTGCCGGGGTCTCGTCGGGGCTGCTGGGAGCGGCCGGGGTTTGTGCCGCCGCCGTCCCAGAGGCTGAGCGGGGAGACCTGACCCGTTTCCGTGCCCGGGGAGGGTCTGGGGCGCGAGGCTGCCAGTGACCGGAGTCGGAAACCAGGGTCGGTTTGCCCACCGGGCAGCCGTTGGAATGTCCGAGCTCGGGCTCCCAGTCCGGGATCCGAGGGGTTAGGTGCCAGCTGGAGATGTCCCTCGGGGACCCGCACCCTTCTCCAGTTACAAATCCGAGTGACTGACGGCAGGCCGAGGGGCTCCCCGACCGCCCTTCTCTCAATCCCCTGACTCGGGGTTCAGGGGGCTGTGTGCCTCGGGGAGCCGGTGCCCGAGGACTCCTTTGGTCCCGGCACTGGGCGGTGGCGCTGCGCGAAAGCGCTCTTGCAGCGGAGCAACTGCGCCGCGGGAGCGCACAGAGCCAGCGCCCAGGCGGAGTGGGTTAGTGGTGAGGGGTGGGTGCCGGGCTAGTCTGGGCCTTGGGTGAGTCCTCGGAGTCCCCGTGGCTTTCCAGCTCCAGGCTCGTGACAGGGTGACCTTGGAGCCGGGATTTCACTTCCACAGCGCCGTTGTGCCAGGCGGACAGGGAGAAGGGCTCTCTGGCCCCCAGTTCACGAGGAGAAGTGGCCTTGTCCGGTCAGGACCACCACCCTACGACGCCGCTCCGGCTCTGGGCGATTCTCTCCTCCCTTGCTGAAGCAGGCGTTGAGATCCTGCGTTCCTCCCGCTCTGGTAGTTGGCAGAGGCAGATGGATTCCTCTGGCCCCGGGGGCAAGACTGGCTTTGGCTATGATTCTTCAACAGGGCTGCCCATTTAGGATAGAGGAGGGCGGTGGAGAACAGGTTGGTGAGCGGTACATGCTTTCATGTCAAGACACTGCTTTACTGGAAAGAATTTTCACATCTGGGTCTTCCCCACTTAAACTAGCTGTATGTTCCTGGGCAAGTGACTTAACTTCTCTGAGAATCAGTCGTCCTATTTGTAAAATGAGATTAATACCAAATATATGAGGGAACATTGTGAGGATTAAATAAACGTAAAGTTCCTAGCACAATGCTTGGTACATAGTCCGTGTACAAAAATTACACACACATGCACACACGTACACATGTATATGTATATATATTTGTCATCATAATTAGTGTCTTCATCATGTATGACAGAAGCCAAACAAATCATAAAGGCTGTGGGACTAATGACTTTTTATCCACTAGGCAATGAAGAACCCTGAATGTATTTTAAGCAAAGATCAATATAAAAACATTCCAGTTTGACTGAAGGGACAGCAGGTGAGAGCATAGGTTGGAGCTGGTAAGTCTGGAAGCTGGGAGTCTTGTTAGGAGGGCAGTTCAGTACGCTGGGCAAGACATGATGTGGCCTTAACAATGTAGGCCTGGTAGAGAAGTTAGAAGAAAGCAGATCTGAGGGTATTTAAGGGTTAAATGAAGTGTCTTGGAGCACCGTGAAGTGAGATGAAGGGAGGAGCCAAGCCCGACTCCCAACTTTCTCACTTTTAAAAGGGTGGATCAGGAAGCAGATCCTTCTCATTTTCCACTCCATCATCTATTTTGTGTCTTTTGTACTCATGATCATTAGACAGCTGCTGCACCTTTAGGCATAGAATCATTTAGGAGGGAAGAAAGGAGAAAATGCAAAGGGTAAAAGTGAGGTGCCGGTTCTTTGGCCACTTTTATGAGGACAATAATAATTTTCCTGGCAGCCCCACCAAGTAGATAGGCATCTGCTTATAATCAACCAGAGATGGATGAGCTTTGGGATACAAAGGTACCTGGGAAATTGTTGTTTATTTATTTACCAGATCCACTGATGGCCTGAAAAAAGGGTTTTGTTTAAAAGGAAAAAGGGAGAAAGAATACTGGGGAAGCAGCCCGCTACGTGTGTTACAACTATTGAAAACTTTTCCGTTCTTAAAACCCTCTCCTTTACTGACACCATTCTATCCTGGTTTTCTTCCTATCTCCCTGGTCACTCATTTGTAGGCTACTTTATAAACTCCTATTTTATTTATTTTTATTTTAACAAACCCCTTAGATACTGATGTTCTGTGGGTTCTATTCTTGCTTCTCCCCTTTCCTGATTTCTCTTCTCTTCCTTTTCATTCTATAATAGCCTCAAACAGCCTGAATAGGCTGATGACTCCTAAAACTCTCTCTTTAGCTTTGTCCTTTTCCCCCAGCCCCAAATCTGTAATATCCAACTGTCTGCTTGATATCTCTAATCTGGATGTTATGCAGACACCTCACACTTGTTAGGGATTTTAGACTTCAGGGATTTAGACTTTAGCGATTTTGATCTATGGGGATTTCAACATTAGAGGTTGTGGGGTTTGGGATTGTGTCCTTTGGGATTATGTTCCAAACCCAACCCCATCATCATTTACCAACTGAGAATTATTTGCAATTGTCCTTTACTCCGTTCTCTCCCTAACAGCCTACATCCAGTAAGTCACCCAAGGCATTATAGTTTTACCTTCTAGGTCCCTTGATTATCCCCTCTTCTAGTGGTGATCCTAGGAAGATAGCTTTACCTTCCTGTGTTTCAACTTCTTAATGAAACAAAGACTTTGAATGAGGTGCTAGGTAAGATTCATTTTAGCTCTAATATTCCTTGCAGTAGTTACTTCTGCAGGGTTGAACTGATGTCAGTGTTGTGGAGGTGTTTCAACAATAGTGCTGGAAATAAAGTTGGGTCCTAAAGAAGCAAGATTGCTGAATGGAGACCTCCTCTCACTTGTACAAACATCTGATTCTTTTCTGATTTTTAAGCCATGCAGTTTATCTACTTAGGCATTAGATAAGACCCATGCATAAAACCACAGGAAACTTCAATTGTTGTTTAATTATAAGCCTCATTTTCAAAGCAGTTCCTTCTTAGAGGTAATTTCAGATGGTCTTTGAACAGCAGGTATACTTGCCCAAGTCAGCAGCAACAGTGGGTAGGGATTGGAGACATCACTCAGGGTCACAATACTCAGAGACAGATAAGGCGTTCTTAGTATTTAATTTCTTGCCTGTATAGACTGATTGCACTTGGATTGTAAAACCTTAAGCAGTTCTTGCAGTCTTGTAAGCATATACAGCCATGTACAAAGGCTTTTTATTAGAAGAGCAAGGAATTCAGGCTGAAATGAGACTTTGGCATGTGGGTGTTTCAGAAGGAAACAGAACCTTTTATTTCGGAAATTATGGAAATCATGGCATGCTAGCCTTTGAAGATATCTTGTAGTATGTCTACTCCAACTTCTTTATTGTACAGGTAAAATCCAGAAAGGTTTCATTCGTCCAATATAACTTGAGTATTTATTGTGTGCTTACAATTGTGCTGGGTGCCAGGGATACAAGTCAAATAATGACATGGTCTGCCTTTGTAGAACTCACACTCTCAGAGCAAGTTATGTGTATGTCAGAATAGGATAGATTATGTAGTGACAACAAAAGACCTCCAGCTCTACAGAAGCTACATGCTCATAATATTATGCATGTCTGTAATAGGCCAGCTGCTGCCCTTCTCTGTGCCATCTTCACTCTGAGATTCAGATTGACAGAGCAGCGTCCATTTGGGACATGGCCGATCTTGTAGCAGAGGGACAAAAGAGCAGGACAAACCACATGCTGGCTGTGTATTCCCTAGACTTTACCATCACCCCCATCTCTCAGGTTCCTCCTCCTTTCACTTCACTTCTTCCTTCCAGCTCAGCTATCCAACCCTGAAGGGATAATAGAGACCAGGTCTCGTGGGTCACACCCGTAATTCCAGCACTTTGGGAGGCTGAGGTGGGCAAATCACCTGAGGTCAGGAGTTCGAGACCAGCCTGGCCAACATGGTGAAACCCCATCTCTACAAAAAATACACAAATTAGCAGGTGTGGTGGCATGTGCCTGTAGTCTCAGCTACTTGGGAGGTTGAGGCATGAGAATTGCTTGAGCCTGGGAGATGGAGGTTGCAGCAAGCCGAGATCGAGCTATGGCACTCCAGCCTGGGTGATAGAGCGAGACTCCATCTCAAAAGATAGTAGAGTTTTTGGAACTCCTGAAACTTTGAAGGTTAAAGATGGACATTTTTGTCTAGTACCATACAAATTCTGTAGTTGTTTTCTCTGAGACTGACAGATGTTTCACATTCTGCTGGAGACTCATCTAACATCAATGTCTTACTCCCTGGTGTGGGCTCAGTCCTTTCCTAGTGTGATGAAAGGAGCAGACAGGCCTGGAGGTACAGTAAATGTGATGGCCAAATAAAGCCTGGGCCTGTTTTAGCTTGTTCCTTCTCTAGACTTTTCCCAATGTCTGTCTGCCCTCTTGTAGTCTTTCTGTCTCTTCCGGGTTTGAATTTTTAGGTCTGGAGCCTGAAAACCCATGAAACATGGATCCTGCTTACCTTCTCTCTGTATTAGGAATGCTATTTTGGTTGTAGTAACATAAACTAGAGCTAGCCTGAGTCAGAAAACAAGAAGAGGTCTTTTTTTGGGGACTTTTCTGAGCACACAAGGGCAGGAATGTAGCTGAACGTCTGAAGAGAATCAGAATTGGAGACTGAAACGCTACCAGGTATTTCTCTCAGATGTTTATTTCTCTTCTCTCTGTCTACTTTGTTCTTCTCTTTCCTTGTACAGACTCATTTCCTCCCTTTATCTGGTATCCATGTGGAAAATCATGGCCCCAGTAGCTCCAGTGTGTCCACGTTACAAATCTGGTCACCTAGAGGCAGACGAGGTGGTGATCTCTAAATTTTAAAGTCCCAGGGAAAGAGTTCATTGTATCATTTTGGGACAGGTGCCCATTCACAGTCCAGTCAGCTGTTAGGTGACGTAGTTGCCAGGAACTCCTTTATTGTAACAACAGGATAGGAGGGGAGTA